TCATAAAAATTCCCACCAATCAGAAAGTCTGAAATTATTTCCGGAACTGGTACTCTTAACGTCCTCTACATGTCCAGCGGATAAGTCCGCAAGAATTACCGTCTAGTTCCCGACATTTCTAATGTCGTGAGTCTGCTACTGATATATAGATGTCACTGCAAGGGTCATTTTGATATTTTTGCTGTTTTGAATAGTGGTATGTAGACTATGCCAGACATTAATTTTATCATGTCGTTAAAATTAAGGCTGACACTGTAACCCCTCGGAACATAAATAAATAATAAACTGTATACTGTGACTTTCTCCCTGGTATTCCGGATATTTTATAGTGAGTGTAATAAGATGGCACAAAACAAAAGTCGGTTAAGATTTACATATGAAAATGATATTATATTAGCTAGAGAAATATTAAGTCAGAATCCCTATGAGGATGCTGTAAGATGGGAAACAATCCAAACTAATGTTAATATCTTAACCACAAAAAATTTTACAATACGAGTACTAAAGGAACACTTAAATATGCTTATATTACCTACATTTAACAGATCCAAGTATCATGTAACTACTTCATTACTGTTATTACCTAATAAAAATTGTATTTTTAGATCTGAGGTGGAAGAGGTTTATTCGGAATTGGATCAACTTCTACAGGAAATAAAACTGCGAAAAATAAAATTTCTATATATCGTCTGAGCAGTATTTTGCGAAAGGAATCAAAAATATTTTTTTTGAAAATTTCTTTTTCGCAGTGATGTCCCAAACGTGTTGTAAGCAAGGAATTATTTTTAAGGAAGGGTTAGATTGGGTCACTATGATCATATCCCACTATATGTCGTCTAAGCAGTATGTTGCAAAAGGTATCAAAAATATTTTTTGAAAATTTCTTTTACGCAGTGTATGACCCAAACGCGTCGTAAGCAAGGAATTATTTTAACGGAAGGGTTTAATTTGGTCACTATAATAACAAAGTTATTAGATAATTTTATGCATAATGAAGCAATTTTATATTTCAATTACTGTATAAGATAAGTCGATTTTCTGCAACAAATATCAATTACGACTTTTTATATATATATTCCTATATGACAATATTCATTCCGCTAATAGTAAGGATACACGCCACTGGTCGTTCGGAAAATTTAGCAGCTGGGTCTGGCAGCCAACTTCACATAGGTAAGAAAAAATACTTTCAAAACAAATTCTTTTATATGAACACTGAATTATACAAAATGCAGTTTGTAGAAATCCAAAAACTGTTATTACCAAAAATTAATCTCTCCTAAAAATATAACCATTTCAATTCAATATGAATAGTATATTGGTGTGTACTTACACAACCTGATTTCAACTGCTGAGAATCGACGGGTTTGATCGGGTCGCTTGACTTAACTATATTACTGGACTTGGCTGTGTCACTGCAAGTTCGTTCGATGGGTAAGAGGTACTACAATAGTGAAGCTTAAGCTTAGCTTCACTGATAAACTAAATTCTTCTTCTTATTTTTTTTTATGGTTTTTGCTGCCTTTCGGCGCAGTAGCCAGTCTCCTCCTCTTGCATAACGGATGTTATCCAATTTCATCCGGGGACGTGTGTGTCTGTCTTGCTTATTACAAACTACGTCTGTATGTTGTTGATAGACACTGAGTCCACGTGAATTAAACCTACGTTGCGTAATTGAAACTTTTGGCTTGAGTATCTGCCTCATACCTTCACTTGCTGGTAGGTATTCACCGACCAAAGAATACATACAAAGGTTATATGATAATAGGATTGAAAATAGTAGCTAGAAAATAATTAATTCTCGAAGTAGGCGGTAAACAAAATAAGTTTGAGAACCTCTGTTCTAAATGCAGGCGGCAGAGCCAAAAAACTAAATTCGACAAATCTAGTTTTTAGCGAATAGTTCAAAAACAATCACTGACATTCTCGATCTGAAAAGAATTTATTCTAGTTTCCCAAAATTGGAAACTTTTGTCTTGTCTTACCATTTTCGAAATGGCAATATCATGTGAAATGTTCTGAATGTTCAAAACAAACAACAGAACACAGAACTGCGGTAAGAATGAAGCGTAAAAAAAATAAAAAAAAAAACATGTTCTAAGTATACGCTTGATTTTCCTCAGAAAGAATATATCTATTTACGAATTAAAATTACAATAGACTACAAATTATGACTTAGATAATCGCCATAATTTTTTTATACACTCCTTCGATTCTGTTAACAAAAATGATAGGAGGGGGTAAAAAAATGGACCAAAAAATTTGTTGGCTCCAGAGCCCGGTCTACTATTATAAAAATGTGGCTAGAAATCTGTGGCAATTTAACGTTAATAAATAATGAAACATACCTATATTCATTTCCTAGTAGTTGATTTAGTATTAATTATGATATAACTGATAAAATGGAACAAACAGTCTTGACAACGAACAGTTACCTACTTCACCAAACTCGGAAGAACTAGAATAAATTATCATCAAAACTGGATAAGAGGGTTTGAAACTTTCAGAAGTTTCCTTTTATTTAGTATCCATCTATGATTTACATGGGAAAAATTCAACTTGGCATTGTTATTTGTGTTCCATTCACACAACATGAGTAAACAATGATTTGAGCTAGAAAACTGTTATAAAATTACGGGAAACAGGACTCTGAGCCTCTCAATGATAGACGGCGCTGGTTGTATCAATTTGTTTTCAGAACTGTAAATTTAATAATTATATACGGAAAATGAAAAAAATTAATGTATTTTTTTGTTACATAATGTATTTGGAATATAATGCCTTCATTGTTTTTTATATCCGTATTAATGGTGAATCCTAATATCGAATAACGATAGATGGGTAATGAAAAATATTTCAATGAATTGATGATGTAGCCGTAACTACGTGGTAGGTAGATCATCATGAAAAATGAGAAATAAAACTTTCTATGTTTTTTTTTCAACTTTTATTTGTGAATAATATGTTCTGATATCGATGTATTTCGGGGTTACTTTTCTTCTTATGCACTCTTGGTTGAACCATAAGTTTTGCGATGCTTGATGGTACTTCATTTTAGATTTCAAGTAGTTTGTGGCTTGCCTAACTGTACTTGCTTCTTTCAATGAATTGATGGATGTAGCGGTTACTACTTGGTAGGATGTCATTATGAAAATTCAGAAATTAAACTTTCCATGTTTATTACCACTTTTATTTGTAACTAATGTAAAAAATAACACTCACCTGCCGTCTAGTTATAGAATTGTTAAGAAAAATACGTGAATTATATATAATTCCAATGTAATTTACATCAATAACTTTTCAAATGAATAACATTTGAAAAAAATTCAAATATNATAAAAAACTCACCTGGAACGCTCACTTGGAAAAAGTTTTACACAAAGCCAGGGTGTCCCTATGGACATGTCGAAGGATTTGTGGTAAAACTTGGGGTTTAGGTCTCAAACAAATCCATTGGATTTATGTGATGATTGTCAGACCAATGATCACTTATGGTGCAATTGCCTGGTGGCCGAAGCTTTACAGAAAACGGACCAAGCGAAGCTCTTTGGCTTACAGCTTTAGATCTAACTGAAATAAAAAGGTGGTGCGATGCCAATCAAATGATCTTCAACTATAAGAAAACTGAAGTGTTATCATTTAAATGGGACATCGACAAAATACAACTAAATAATGATATTTTCAAGAAATCTGACAATTATAGATTCTTAGGTATTGTATTGGACCATAATTTAAAGTTTGATGAGCATATTATGGCAATGGCAAAGACATTGTCATCTGGGTGTTATGGTATCAGAGTTATTCGAAATTAAATCGGTTATCTTATTGCTAGAAAAGCCTACTTAGCTCTCCTGGAATCTCACATCAGATATGGGATAGCATTTTTGGGAGCCTGCTCACAAGCGGTGTTCTCAATGATCTTTAAGCTACAAAAAAAACACTGACATACATATGCCATAATAATCACCAAACTTCATGTAAACCCTCATTTATATCTCAAAGTATACTCACGTTAACATCAATCTTCGTGTTAGAATCAACTAGTTTAGTTTATAAGCATAAACTACATTTATTAAAATCTGAATAGTATTTCAAACATTTCATTTGAAGTCAATTTATTCAAATCAAGGAATTTTCTATCTGAAAAATTGACCAAAATTAGAGTGGCCTTGTGGTTCCAAGTGGAACCTCCTGATATTTCTCTGAAGATTTACCATTTGAAATTTGATTTCCATTGTTTTTGTAGTGTAATGATGAAAAATACTCAGTCTGCTATATATTTACTAGGATCTTACCTGCCATTATCGAAAATGCTGTTTATTTAGATGATTTTATAAGAATGTGCACACAAACATGAATACTTGACGTTTTCCTGCACTTCATGACTTTATACCTCCAAACAATTAGAATTTATTTTCACCTTGTGCTTCTGGTAAAGAGAGGGCGGTAGTATATTACTGTTTCAATCATGTGGTTCCAGCCAGCGCTTACTGGGCCACTTCAAAAAAATAATTTGATTTGTGGTTCCACGGTGGCACTTCTAGGCTTCAAAGGCTTAAACTATTTTCAAGTAAAATACTTTCAAGAAAAAAACTTTTGCTTGAAAATAGTTCAACAAACCGAAACCGGTCGTAACAAATGAAAAACTTTGTAGAACTCAGACGAACGTTATTTTTTTATCCTATATTCAAATCGATGTTACTTTTTAATTTCCAAAACCATTAATAAAAAGGAAAAACCCGCACTGTTATGTAGAGTCGCACAATACTTTGTAAAAAGGAATCATTTTCAGTACTTTTTCATGAAAAGGCCAATGGTGTGACATAATAATAATAACAATAAAAAACTCACCTGGAACGCTCACTTGGAAAAAGTTTTACACAAAGCCAGGCTGTCCCTATGGACGTGTCGAAAGATTTGTGGTAAAACTTGGGGTTTAGGTCTCAAACAAATCCATTGGATTTATGTGATGATTGTCAGACCAATGATCACTTATGGTGCAATTGCCTGGTGGCCGAAGGCTTTACAGAAAACGGACCAAGCGAAGCTTTTTGGCTTACAGAGACATGCTTGTCTGGCCATCAGTGGTGCCAACAGTACCACACCGTCAGCGGCCATGTCAGCTACCTCCTATCCATATTTTTCTGGAGAGAGAGGCTAGATGGACTGCATATAGACTTGTGCACATTGCCAATTGCACAAATCACTTTAATGCAGAGTGCAATAGACTGTTGGTCGACACTGGAAGTCACAGCATTCTGGAAATGACCTCTGACTATATGGCTCCAACTGTCAACTACGAACTGCCTTATAAAGAACTGTTCCCGAGTAGAGGGCTGGATCCTCCGGGAGAAGGAAATATTATGAGCAGATATGATCATCTTCAAAGAGGAAGATTGAACACAGTTTAATCTCAGTTGAATCTTCCTCTTTGAAGATGATCACTCAGTGATCGAAATACGTGTCGAGGTGTTAAACGATTTGATGTAGAGAAAAAACTCCAATAATATTCGAAGAATATTTTGTTGTAACTAACAAACATAGTTCAAGTACTTGTTTGATTTGTCGAGAAAGTGTGATACTAAAAAATTACACACATGACTCTTCTTTGGCACCCCGAAAAAAAAATCATTATACAAAAAAAATTGGAATCAGTACAAAGTATGGCCTCCACGCTGGTTTATTACGGCCCTACATCTATCGTGCATCGACAAAGTTACTACCTATTGAGAGACAAGTTTTCTATTCTTCACAGCAGTTCAAGGTCAAACTTGTTCAAGGTTAAATTTGAAATGCTTCCTCAAAGTCACTTTGTGGACGTTGTCATTCAAGGTTAAACCCAAAACACCACCTCAAAGTAACCTTGCCTGCATCGTATGACGTAGGTCAAGGTCATTCGAAGTCAAACTCAAGACACCTCCTCAAAGGCATCTTGGGTACTTTGTGTGATGTATGTAGAGGTTATTGTCAGAACGCCGGGTAGCTTTTATTAAAATGTTCTGCCATTTCAAATGTATGTTAGACCGTGAATGTTTTTAAATTTGCATTGTATTTATTATGTTTTACTCCCTATGGACGTCTTCTTTGTTACTGTGTACTATTTTGTAAATGAAATTTGTATACTTTATAACAAGGGAAGTAAATAAATATTATTATGATTATATTAATTGAGTAATGTGGAAAAGTTAATTGGCGTATAACCGAGTTGGTTGATACTTTTACTAAGCGAGTTGTTGAAATTGGACAGTCAAGTCGTTATCCCTGCACCTGGACANATACTTTTACTAAGCGAGTTGTTGAAATTGGACAGTCAAGTCGTTATCCCTGCACCTGGACAGTGTAGAACTGAATTCTTAACCTTATCATCTTGGAGAAGTCATAGAGGAGTAATACGAGTAATGCAAAATGGATTTTTGGACTTGTGGCAGATGGATTTGATGGAAATGCAACCATATGTTGTGTTTAATACATAAGTGGACGTAATTTACACCGATTTCTCAAAAGCATTTGACATCGTGAACCAATGAAGTTCTTTGTGAAAAATTAAAGACAATTGGCTTTTTTAGGAGTTTGTTGGATTGGTTCTCAAGTTATCTTTGTGATAGATCACAGTTTGTGAAAATTAAAGGATTTATCTCTCACGAGATATCTGTTACCTCAGGAGTACCTCAAGGGAGTCACTTGGGACCTTTTCTCTTCAATATCTTTGTGAATGATATCAAAGAAAAAATTACTCACTGTGAAATACTGATGTTTGCAGACGATCTAAAAATTTTTAGAGCAATAGATTCATTGCAGGATTGTGTGAAAATTCAAATGGACCTTAAATCTTTTTTTGATTGGTGTTGGAACGTGTACAATCTATACAAGATCTGGGTGTTATGTTGGATGACAAAATGGACTTTCATTTACAGTATGAACACATATCTAACAAAGCGATGATAATGTTAGGATTCATATGCAGATCAACTAAGGATTTTACCAACATTTTTTCTATCAAAATACTATACTTTGCATTGGTTAGATCAGTGATTGAGTATTGCACTTGCATCTGGTCTCCAACTTACTTCAACCACAGTTATGGTATTGATATTGAGAAAGTTCTGAATAAATTTCTTAGATATGTTGCCTACAAAATGAACATGCCAGCTAGAAGTCATTTGTTCTACTATTGGATTGCTCCAACTCAGAACAAGACGGGCACATGCAGACATAACATTCCTACATAAATTGTTGAACAATGAANCAAACACCAACAATGCCGGAAGTGAATGTTCTCATAGAAATGGAAATCACCAACATTTTCACATATCCAACCACTTCTACAAATACTACATAAATTGTTCCAACAATCAACTTTGTAGTTATCACAACGTAGACAACGTTTAACTGGTAACAGTTTACACAAATATTTCTAGAAATTCCCATATTGGTATGACTCCAATGAAACTTTTGCAGCACTGATGATGGAGGCATACTTCAGGAGTTGAATCTTTGTCGTATTCGGAACTGTGCAGACCGGTATATGGATCAATATACCCCTCAGGTCAATAAACTTGGCAATTATTACCCACTATAGTTTGACTAATTTTGATTGGATAGCCACACACTTTTGGTTTTGAATCCCACTCTTTCTGAAAAGGCATATATATCAGTATTCACTATTAATGTTGAAACATTCAAGCAGATCTCAATTCAAGGATAGATTTACTCTTGCAGTTCAGCAATTTTTGCTCTATACTCGGATTTGGATTCTTCCTAGAGTTGACGCACCTTTGAAAATTTCGTTCTCACAGATTTTGCATACAAAATCAACTCTACTAATGATTTTTCTCGATAATAGTCTCCTCATGTTCGGTCTGCTGGGGTGACGGTGTAGGTACTGGACTAACCTTATCGTGTTCAGGGTTGACCCTGAATAGGTTGACCCTGATAGGTGGACGTGATCGAGTAACATCTTGTTGCATTTGAGTCTTGACAAATACCTGTTGGACTGATGTCGAAGGTCTGGCGATGACTTCCACCTCTCCCACATTAATTTAGTTGTCCTTTTCCTCTTTTTAATGTTTTACCTTATTTCTTCTTCTGGATGGACAATCACATTCCTACTCTCCAGTTCATACATTTATGACTGGTTAACAGAGATTGATAGGGCTAACAACGCATTTCTCAACATAGACATGGTACTGAAAACATGTGAAAAAATATTAGGCAATATAATATGAATAGTTCGCAAAGAAAGTTTTTGGCTTTCTATTCCTCCACCATGACACAAAATAATGTGGGAATCTTCCAAAGAGAGCAATTTCAAAAAAGTAACTATACAAAGAGTAACTTTCAAAAACAACTGCCCTCTTGAAAATAACTATTTTATAAACATTGAATTACAGGAAAGAAAAAATCTATGTGAAGTTGGCTGCGAGACCCAGCTGCCAAATTTTCCGAACTCTGCCGAACGACCAGTGGCGTGTAGCCTCACTATTAGCGGAATGAATATTGTCGTAGGAATACATAAAAAGTCATAATNATTATATATATATTTATTATTTTCTGGAGTAACCGAATATTCAAGAAAAATATGGTTTCTGGTTTGCCTCATTCACAATTTTGTGTATCGTTTACCACTATGCGGAATTGTGACCTGTTTTCATGCGTATAAGACTTGTGATATGTCTTTTATCCATTGAAGGAACTTTTCAGTACTATAGTGTCACTTGGAATCCCAAGTGAATACTAAAATATACTTCACTATTAACTTGTATATTTTATATCGATCGTAAACTAATTCAGTATTTTTCGATTCAGCATTATTTGTTCCAAGTAAGGAATGAAATTATTTTCATCTATTTTCATATCCAGTGGAACATTTGAAGAAGTACCGATTTTCGCCAACATATCCGCTTGTTTGTTGCCTACAATATTATTATGTCCAGGTATCCCAGCAAATTTGAAAGTAATGTTGTTATGACTGCCCTATTTATTGACTCTCTTATATTGAGCGTACTATAATCACTAATATTTACCCTATTATCTGTTGTCTGAATTCTATCCAGTACACTTTCAGAATCAGTAAATATAAAGTTTCTCTTAATATTCTTTGATATACATATTGTTATTCCTTTATAAATTGATATCATTTTCGCTACTGCAAATATTCATTTGATCGTATAACCGAGCTGAGAATGCAAAATTCATTTGAGGCATCAACAGGAAATGAAAATTAAAAATTGAAATATTTCAACGTTTCGATTGTTAGTGTCCATAATCGTCTTTGGGTGACGACCCGAAACACAATACATTTTTCAGTTGCGATTTGTCACCATTAAAAAAAGACACCTGAAATCAGATGAACTATTTTCATGAAGATGCACCGCTCATGTTTGAAAGCTCAATGCGATAGTTATTTATTTATTTACGATTCGCAAGAAACATACGATTCGCAATAATCGAATGAGTATCGTTCATCCTTTGTATGTTGAATATTAAAAAATTATAAATAGTCGGACATAGAAAAAAAATTGTGTGGCCCTTCCTCGCACAACTGCTACAATAATTGTGGAAATATTTCGAAACTGACAATGAGTCTTAATGAATAACACTGCTGTCGAAAATTCCCCTTCCGAACACGGGAGCCAAGTTGTAACCTTCGCGAGACACTCCATATCTCCAATTCATGGGTTAATGGGTTAATTCTCATTTCTTACTCCTCAACGATGAATCTCCCAATTGATATAATGGTTTCATCAGAAATTTTCTGTTGAAAAAAATTCGCCATATGCCAATCAATCATTCAGTGCAGTGTACACTGACATTGTTCGGGTTACGTCCGGGATGGAACTAAGAAAGCGGCTTGTACTCTGGCAACCTTGCGGTAATTTTAAAATTTGTTGTCTCTTTCCTTTTATTACTCTTTTTGTATTACTATAGTATAAGGTACGGAGTAGAATTTGTTTGGTGAGTAAAAATATCAAACTAAAATAAGGTAGTTTTCTTCCATTTCGAAAATAAATTCAGAAATATATTATGTTCATCTTCATTATCTCAATTTTGCCAAATTTTACTGACATATTCCAGTCATTTTTTGGATGAAACGGGATATATATACATACACACACACCATCCACTTTTTTCATTTGACATTGATTTTCAGATATGGCAGACTCTGTAGGCAAGAAGAAAAAGGTCGACCAGAAAGTCGATAAAGAAACGTCAGACCAAAAAGTTTCAATTAAAAGAAGGCCAATCAAAAGACATGGTAGGTTGTACGCCAAAGCAATATTTACTGGTTACAAACGAGGACTTCGTAATCAACACGAGAATACTGCTCTTTTGAATGTGGAAGGAACTGAATCAAAAGATGAGAGCTGGTTCTACGTTGGCAAGAAATGTGTATATGTTTACAAAGCTAAAAACAAGACGTGTGTTCCTGGACGTCCTAAGTCTGTAAAATCCAAGGTACGAGCCATCTGGGGAAAAATTACTAGGCCCCATGGTACAAGGGGAGCAGTGAGAGCCAAATTCAACAGAAATTTACCTGCCAAGGCAATGGGACACCGTATTCGAATAGTAAGTAGATTATTACTTGTTTATTGAATTATCATTTCATGGTTAATTAATACACCTATTGAATTTTACCATCTTATGGTGAATTTAGGCACAGTGGATTAGCAAGTGACTTTATCAATTCTGAGTTGAAGTCGTCTCAAATGGAGACATTTATGTAGAAAAAATAACAATTATCAAGCAACAAATTGTGACTATAAGTTGGCCAACTTTTAACTTACTTTAATTGTACCATGTATGCATCTAATACACAAATGATCGCTGATTGGCTCATTTCACAACACACGACATTGGAAGCGAGGGATAACCTAACCTAATGATTTTCAAATTTATTAAACGTTATAACCTGTTTTCCGTTTAGATTCATTGTATCTATTATCACTGAAATGGAAATTGATATTGCTGTGTTGAAAAATAGACAATAATGTATATTTCTTTTTTCTGATAAAAGCTTCAGCTCTCTTATAATATTTTATTGCAAATGTATACATTCTGTCGTTTTTGTTTCTTTCTTCTTTTTATTGATGAATAAATATTTATTTGGGCTTTTAATAATAATAATGAATAAACTTTATTGCGTAAAAAAACAACAAAGTTATTGTAAATTTGACATTGACAAAGTTGTAAATTTTTTTCAGACATCATACTTTATATACATATATACACACAGACGTACACATAGGGTACAAATCACATTAACATAACTTTAATACAGAGTAGCACAAATATAGACATGCATTAAACAATTTTATTGAAACGCCTACAATATGTACTGATTCTGAAGAGAGGTATTACACATTAAAGAAACAACACCAGAAAAGTTGAAATATTAAAAATGCAGTATATCATACTTTGTAAATATTTTAAAAATAAGATGATAAAGTAAATTAGAAATGTTTCCTTGCAGAAATCTTCTAAACTATAATGGGGTGTACCACAAAATAATTCTATTACTGATTTCTGAAATTTACAGTTATTCTCTAAAATTTTAATATGGCCAAGTGAATGATTAAACATCTTGAGACCATTATAATATAAGGAGTCTTTGACTAAAGTATGTACTGTAAGTACTTAGGTCACTAGCTTGATGAAGGGCATAATTATTTGAGTAGCTGCTGAATATCAGTTTATGTTTGTTGATCAAACAGACTGTTTCTAATTTCATGAACTACGCCTTACGATTTGATCTTCACACACACGTTATTTTCAAAAATATATCAGGACATGTTTTGTTATCACAGTAGTTTTTTATAGTGAATAGTGGTGTTTTGTTGATTTCTAGAACATCCCGATAATGTTCTATGAGAAATATAAAGAAAGTNGAATCTGAGGTTGAAGATTAGACGAAAATTTGTACATTTACATTATATTCTATTATCAAAAATTTGTAATTTGTATTTTCTAGTACCCCTGACGATGAGTTTAAGTTAGTCGAAAGCTTGAGAATAGTTATAAAGAGTTCACTTATCAATTGCTACAACCCAATAGTGCAAAGTTTTAATGAAATAAATAAAAAATGTGTATTACTATTTTAACTAATTGTACTAAGAATTTTTCTTTCATTCTTAACCCTCTCAAAAATTAATAAGCACGCCCCCGATTTGCTGTCTACTGGACTTCTACTCTCAATCATTACTGGTTTTAGTATAGGTGTGATTCTATTGCAGAGTAATATTATTCGCATTCCACGATTTTGTAATTGATTTAATTTGTTTTGATTCAAGAGATATAAGAGAGTCCCGCAAAAATCGTAATGAGGTTTTATTATGCAATTATAGCACGTGTTATTTTGGCATACATTGATAATACAGATGCCACTCTAGAAAAAAAAACAGTTTCTTTGATATTTTGCTTATTATATAGTCAGCATGATCATTCAATGAAATTGTATTATCTACAATGAACCCTAGATACTTAATTTTACTCACTATTTCTACATCAGTTTCGTTAATTTTAATTTTGACTGTGTTTCTCCCAATTTTATTTTGTTTATACTTTGTTGTAATGATCATCGCCTTAGTTTTAGTGATATTAAGTTTCAGTTTATTNAATATGATAATTTCTCTAACAGTATTTCATGGTCAACAGTATCGAAAGCTTTACTCAAGTCACAGCTTAATATCTGGGAGTCCTCTTGATTATCAATGGCATCTATGATTTTTTGAATAATCTCTATCATTGCTGTCATTGTAGATTTTCCTTGCTGATATCCATGCTGAGAGCTGTTGAAAAATGCTGAACTGTCAAAGAACTGGACTAATCTCTTTTTGATTACCATTTCGAAAATCTTTGATATTACTGGTAGAATTGAAATGGGTCTAAAGTTATTTGGAATATCTTCCCCTTTTTTAAAAACTGGTATAACTTTTGCATGCTTTAGTTCATCTGGAAACACCCCTTCGTTTATGCATTTATTGATTATTAATGCAATAGGTTGCGCTATTACATCACCTAAGTCCTTCAAAATTGTGGTTGAAATTCCAAATATATCTTCAGTTCGTTTACGTTTAATTTTATTTAAAATTTGTTTAATTTCTTTTTCATCCGCTTCAGAAAAATAGATTGATCGGACATTATCTATATTATTATTTCTCAGCATTTCAATAGCGGGAACATTAATTTTTCCTATTTTACTTGCTGTTTCTGATCCTACCATTGCAAAATAGTCGTTTAACTCATCAGCCATGAGTTTAGATTTGTTGATTTTTGTAATATTCGGTGCTGTTTCAGACTTATTAATATTCCATATTGCTTTAGTTTTGTCGACAGCCTGTGCAATGTACTCTTCATTATACCTCTTTTTTGTTTCTATTATGTTTCTATTATAATCGTGTTTGTACTGAACATAAGCTCTTTCTGATGCTTCATCTAATCTTACTTTCCTTATCGTGTCCAAGGCATCCAATCTATTTTTCATCTTTTTCAGTTCTTCAGTGTACCATTTTGACGATTTTGTTCTTCTTTTATTTGTGATTTTTTATTCTTTCATCTTTTTGAGGCAAATTTAGTATTTGTCCCATATGATCTGACATATGTAAATTTACTGTTTGAGATTTCGTTTCAGAAATTGTGTTTGTGAATATGTTATCGATGCAGCTTTGAGATCTATATATTACACGTGATGGTTCTACATTAAGAAATAAGTTATTTGTAACACACCATTCATAAACTTTATTTAGATCATCTTGAAGGAGAATTTGGTCATTGTAAGACTTTATCGGTCTGAAAAGCTTCAGGTCATCCGCAGACATTAAAAATTCACTGTTCTCAAAACAGCATCCTATGTCATTCACAAAAATATTGAATACCAGGGGTGAACAATGTGAACTTTAAGGCACTCCTTATATTACTAATATATCACTCGATTTGCATCCACCAATTTTAACATGTTGTGAACGACCAGCCAAAAAACTACCAAACCAATTTACCAAGTGTTCTGTAAAACCGAAATTTCCGATCTTCTTCAATAGAATATTGTGATTTATTCTGTAAAATGCCTTGGAAAAGTCAGTGTATATTCAAGAAGAATTAGAGTTGTTTAAAGTTCTTTACCATTCTACTAGCTATGGCTTGAATTAAACACTAGGCTGCTTAGGTTAGCAAATAAGAATTGCAGCTTTATTGATTTGTTTGACTCGTCCTTGTACTCTTAAAAATCAGGTCTAAGGTATTGACCTACTATGAAGAAACTGCGGATTATTATTAATAATTAATTGATATTTGCTTTTTTTTCTCTTTTTTGGTATTCTATATTATTATTCAATTGTTTATTTTTTCAATCACACTATGTGTTCATTGTGTAATGGCAAGTCCGTAAATAAATAGAGTCAGAAATGCTTTATTGTCATAAAAGTTTAGGTTGTGTTGACAAAGCTGGCTTAAGAACTAAAACAATCTGAAACATTAACATAAAGGTCAAGAATTTAAAACAAGATATTAATATGGCTCAAGAACACTTCAAAAAGTCTGTGACGAAAAATTTTATAGGTTGCAGTTATAAGTTGCGAAGTCATCCGAAAGAAATTTCTCAATACTATAATAACCTTTATCTAGCAGAAGTTTTTTGACTTTTTTTGGAAACTGTAGCAGGTTAACTTTCCGATTGAAAGGGGGAGACGATTAAAATATGTTTTGCTATTATAAAGAATCTAGTTGATAAAGAGGCAGTAGACTGTTGAGATGTGATGACAGCTGCTCCCCCAGAAACATACTCTGTACCGCAAGTGGGATTCGAAAAGTGCAAAGTATGCTTTTCTAGCAGAGTAATAGTCCAAAGAGTTAGAGATAGACCTTATTGCATAACAACTTGAGGATAATTTATTGCATAGTATAACTAATATGCGTTCCAAATTTCAATTTGTTGTCTATGTTGAGGCCTAAAAATTTGTTCTCTAGTTTATGACGTGTTCTTCAAGAATTATATGGTCCAGGTTACATTTGAAGGACATTATATTAGTCTTTGAAATATTGAAAGATAATAAATTGGCATCACACCATTGTTTAACTTTGCCTATATCATGCTCTACCCTTATTTTTAGTGCATCAGTGCTACTTCCATGCCAAAGTATAGACGTGTCGTCAGTAAAACTTGTGAATTTGCCTTCAATCGATATGTATGCCAAATCATTTATATGTAATAAAAACAGCAAAGGGTCGAGGACAGATCCCTGAGGTACTTCGCATTTAATGCTCATTTTATCTGAAGATGAACTTTTGAAATTCACTACTAGAACGTGATCTGATAGATATGACTCAAACCACAAGATGTTTCCTCTAAATCCGTAATTTTAGGGGGTTTGCCTAGGAAAGTGGACATACCCAGCTGTAAATTTGTATAAACTTTGTATTTTGGCATCATAAAAGTATTCTCAAAAATTGGGGGGTCAGAAGTCAAAAAAATCGACTTTATGCACGTTTTTTTGCCAATATCTAGTTTCCAATGGGTTTTATGCCAATTGTATTTATTATCAATATAATTCTCTACAATATTTTCTTTTGTTTCAAAAATTTTTTTCATACGTTGAATCGTTTTTGAGATAGAGGGCAGCGCTAGCGCAGATTAAATATTATTTGAAATCAACTGGTTTTCCCGATCGAAATCAGCTCATTT